TTCCAGTCCGTCCTTTTAGTCCCAGGAGGTGCCAGAAGCACCTGACTTCTGCAGATGCACAGTGGAAAAAACAAGACAAGGGGAAAAAAACCCCAAAAACCAAAAACAGGGAAAGAACACTGGTGTCTATAAAGAGGATGAGTAAATCTACATAATAATGTAGCAGCTTAAAATTAGGAAAAAAATTAGAAATTACTAGGAAAGATTTAATCATAATCCTTTCAAAAACCTAAAGCAATTAGACAAAGCCAGAATTACCAGCAAAGTTGACAAAGGATTTGATGAATGTGCAGCTCAGCTTACAGAGACAAAGACACTGTGTAAGTCCATTGAGCCTAATAGAGCTACTCCGAGGCTGGGCTTTGCTAGCAATGAATAGCAATAAAACCCCCCTCATATTTCATGGATTACCTAAGATAAGCAATGCAAACACAGTCCATTGCCCAGCCCTGTTCAAGCTTTTAGTCCTTCTTCATTGGCCATTACCTTGGGATCTTGGCAGGCGGAAAAAACAGCAGTGTCGGTGGCGCAGAGGGCATTGGTGGAATCTGGGATTTGAATGTTCCTGTAGATCATACTGAGAAGAGCTAGGGCATGGTGTCTGAATACCCCATTGCTATTTCTGCTGTCCCTGATCGGGCAGGACAAGCTGTGAAATCTCACAGGTGTACAATGTTTAATTAAAGGGCACTCCATTCTGAGTTTTGCTAAATAACAGAGAACAACTCTGCACTGGAATTTCTCTTTCCATCTGTGACTCGGAGCCTCCTCTCTTACCTGTGGGTGTGAACATATTTTGGAAGTTTGATAAATGTGCAGCCTGTTCAGATCCTGAACCTTTCCAATGCCCACATCCTGCAGGGATGTGGTTTCCACACATGTGGATACAGACAGAGGAAGAAAGTGACCTCCACTGGGGGGATCGGAGGTTGAGAAAATGAAGTTCCAGGAGTTGCTTTCATACCAATTCAGTCTACAACCTTGGCATGGCATTTTACTTCATCTGTAACCTGAGGGTAGAGATAGCAGCACTTGCTGAAGTAGTAATATCTTCAACGTTTGCATTTCTTGATTGCAGAGGACTGAAACAGAACTTCCATCACGTGAACAGCTTTCAGATGTCTCAGATTTCGTGAAAGTTCAAAATCTGAGATTTCAAATTAATAGATTGATAGAGATTAATGAAATTTCATCATGTATTTTGATCCAACTGTTGAATCACACTCCAGAGATCCCTCCTTACGCCTTTCAGATGCAAAATACCAAGTCAGGAGGTAATAAATGTAAGCCATGCAACTGGAGAAACACAGGAATTCAGTCAACTGTAGAGTGACGGGAGTAGTTAGGTGATGGCTGGTGTGACAGCAGCACCAGAGCTGGGAATAGATTGTTGTTCTTGTTATGAAAAAAATGAGGACTCAGATTAGCATTTCCAAGGTACAAGTATGAAATGAACACAATCACAAATATGTCTGAGGGCTGAAAATCAGAGTGACTGGTAAATATTTTCTTCACATTCTTTCTCTAACCATTATTGGGGATTCACTTCAACAGTCCAATTTTAAACTGTCTTGCAAAGTAGCAGGCTAAATTCCCTTTATATTCAAAATAGGGTCCTCTGGAACATTGTTAATCTCACCTATTTTCAGTGTCTACATTATTATGAGAAGCATCTTAATATAAAAGTGCCAGCCTCTGCCTCTCTGCTGAGAATGAAAGTTTGAGGCAATTACCTTGGATGTGGGGGGTCTATTGCAGACATCTGACATTAAGGGAGAAGAATTCCTTCTCTCTTTCGGCTTTTTCATTACATGATCTCAATCTACCCTTCAAAGTAAAATACTTGCAAAATGAGCACCCAAGGAGGAACTGTAGAAGGAACATGGGAACTTCAGGGTAGTTTTAAGTATGATGGTTAAATGGTCTTGCTTTATATCAACATACACATCCCTATAATTGAGGACTTGAGGATTTGGTGACCAAAGAACTCTAATCAAGAGAGATGAAAATAGTTTTAGAAAGTCCCAGTCTTTCCTTGCTTGTCAAAGACCTGTTTGCAGAATGAGATGGTAGTGAATGATGGAATTTGATTCTTACGAAGGAAACCCATTTACAGATTTCTGCTTCAGTAGGCATGCAGTCAGTTTTCCTGCTTTGCAGGGCAGATCTGGAAATCAGACCCAAACATAATCAATTTGTGCATGCTATGGGAGTCACCGGGTGCGAGTGTGTCCCGCGATGTGCACCAGATCTCACTGGAGGATGTGACCCTCTGCTCTGTGACTTCCCCACTGCACCAAATTTGTTGAAGCAATGCCCAAAGGCTTCAGGAGTGGGCCACCTCTCAGGGTCATGTTTGGTTTGCAAGGGAACTCAGAGTCAGTTTTGTGATGAAGCTTCTGCTGCAAGTGCTCTGCATGGACAGTAACCTGCTCCAAGGCAATTTTTTTTCTCCACAACTGCAAAGAGGAGGATTCTTCTTCCAGTCAAACAACCAGTGGCCTCTCATTACTGACATCTATACGTGGTGGTTGGTATTTTGAAAACCTTTGTTTCAGAGGCCAGAAGGGAGCGGGAGATCCTCCTGCACAGGGGTTACCACAGCCATGCATGGAGGCACCTGATTTGTGATAGGAGAGGGGTGTCTGGCTGACATCTCCGTTGTTCTGCTGTATTTTCTTGTGCAGCTTCTAGGCTGATAAGCAGAGATAATGTTATGGAAAGAACAAAGCAGATTCATCTTTTCTGCAGTCTTCCCTGCTTTATTGCAGTTGCAAGAGTTTTTCTGCCATCCACGCACTAGTTTTTAAAACAGTTAATCTCATAAGCATAATCTCGTATTAATAACAGAGGTGGCTTATCCTGATTTGGTAGGTCACATTGGCTCTTTATGTGAGTGCATGAGTGTGGCCTAAAGACCATACGAATTGGCATCCTGAATTATGTACTGTACTGTCCTGAGTCTCTCTCAGTTGTTTCTTGCCTCTCCCACAGAAAAAAAAAAAAAAATATATCCTTTGAGTCTGGGGTGCAGTTCTTTAAATGCCATGCAGAAAAGAAAAAAAAAAAGGGAAAAAGAAGCAACATATGATCCTGCTGAGTAAGGAAATATTTTAAAGCCAAAAAGGTACTTAACAACCTGAGCTGAAATCACTGTACCTCCTCTGGGCTGATGCGCTTTCATGCTTCTGTGGAGGCCTTTGGTACCTTGCAGGACTGGGCTTTGACAATGGAAATACTGCACCAAAAATTGCAGGTGGCAGGCAGTAGTAAAAGAGACCTCAGGCCATTCCAGTCTTGGAGATGCATTGATTTATTCCCAGAATAAATCTAGTAGAGTAACAAAACAATACATGTTGCATATGAGATGAACATCTCTGTCATAACCTTCCTCGCCAGGGGGAATTTCTGCAGCTTGCGATGTCATTCTTCTCTTCCAACCGTGCTTGTCTTTTATTAAGACTTCCATGCTCTGTGTTATTGGCATCCACTGATAAATTCAAATGTCGTTTTTCTAGAGGAATCCAAATAAAACTAGTGTAACTCTCTGAGTTCTCTCCAAATGAAATGCTGTGACACCTTGTCTTTTTGTCAGTTATGCTGTTACTTTACATTGGTTTGTGATGGTTTATTTGCAGTAAGTAGCTAATCATCAATACTCATGGGTTTCACCGAATCTGTCTCTTTTTACTGATGTGGGAGATGTAAAAAGAAGGGAAAGCAAGCACTACACGTCCTTATGTAAGTAATATGGAGTCTGTGTACATAAAAGACAAATATGCTGGCCGTATTCAAGTACAGAGAAAATGCTGTCTTCTTGCAAGAAGAGATCAGAAAATTAATGATAGTTCAGATTGAGGCAGTGAAGATTGAAAATGGAGGTTGAATTAATTTCATAATGTGGCCATTTCTGTTGACCTACACAAGAAAATACATGATAACAAACTAAATATAACAAACAAAATATAAGGTAACAATCTTGAAACCAGAAAGGAACAATTGCCTTTTAATGAACCACAAAAGAATAATGAGAAAAAATCAGTGTTCAAATCCTACTACCTCTGTGAATCGCAGCAAACCACCATTCCCTTAAAGATACATGTGAGAGCTCTGCAAAATCTTCAAAGCTTATTTCAAGAGGAAACACATTTACAAAGGAGTGAACCGGTGGCTGTTTCTAATACTGCTTTGAGAAGTGCTTTCCGCCCTTCTGTAAGTCTGCTCCCTCTTTGGAGCAGTTTCTCTGTAAATTCATAGCAACTTCAGACTACCTTGGTCAGAAATGAATGTTTGCACTGAAGCTTTTTACTTTACTGAAACACTTTGGGATGTAGCTTCTGTTGAAAGCACATTGATGTTTTAAAGGCTTTTGAAATGATGGCACATTTCCTGCAGCTCGCTGCTTTTGCACCATGTGGCAATTGAAATCTGCTCATCACCAAAGAGGTTTTAGAAGGCATAATGGAGCCACACTTGTCATTCAAACTAGATCCGATGGGGTCAGTCCTTAGGAAACAAGATTAAAACCTTTGAGTAACCTTCAGATTCATTCAGTCCCTGGTGTGTGTTTTGTTCTTTTGGCCTTGTCAGCAAGAGCAGGTATTTAATCGCTACCAGGCATCCTGGTGGTTTAGCCGTTAGGGGACCATTTAGTTACTCTTGGTGACAGTGTCTCTCCACACGTGCCCATTGCAAAATGAAATTACGGTCTCCAGGTCTCAGAAAAAGTGTTTGGTAAAATTTTGTGCTGTTAAACTCTGGTACAGCCTCATAAAAGCAATAATTCACGTGCTGTTGCTACGTGAAGTATTCCCACCAGGCCCCAGCCTCTTCAGTGTACGGCAGTGACCTGTATTCGATCCCGCAACGCCGTGTTACGGGCTGCCATCTCGCTGGGTTACTGCTCGCAGGATTAGAGAACTTGGTTTTATCAGGCTGCAAAGCGGGACCTGGGATTACTGGGTGGCTGTAAAGCATTTTGCTGTTTTTATTGTTCTCAGGGTGGAACCTGCGCTTACCCGGATCAAAGAAGATCGAAAGCGGATCATCTTACCAGCAATTGACAATATCAAGTACAACACTTTTGAAGTGCAGCAATACGCCAATGCAGCGCACGGCTATAACTGGGGCCTCTGGTGCATGTACATAATCCCACCGCAGGACTGGCTCGATAAAGGGGATGAGTCAGCTCCCATCAGGTAAATCTCCCATGTGCTGTCATTTTTATACCAGCAATGTTTCCATCTCAGCTGCCTGCTGAGGGGGAATTTAAGCGAAGCAAGGCTATGGGCTTTGTGCAGGGATAGCAAAATGAAACCGAAGAAACCAGACGGCTGTACAAAGCTGTGGGTGCATGTGTCGCATCTCGGAGCTGCACCACAATGTACATGGAAGTGCACGTGCTCTAGTTGTGAACGTGTGATTCAAGTTCGCATTGTGGCCGTTAGTAGGACAGCATGATCTTCTTCATCTATGCGCTTATTTTCCAGTGGACTCTGGGATGAGTAATAAGCCAGTGAAACATTGTGTGTATGAGAAATGAAGGTATTTTGTATGGGATTAAAGAGAGGCTGGCTTCACTTTTGTTCTGTAGGCAGCACTCTTGGCCATCAGCCCAAACCAGAGCTTCCCAGCAGCACTAGTAGGAGATGTGTTAGCCTTGCCTTGCCTTGCCGGAGAGTTGCTCTTTTTTTGGAGAACTTTGCACGTGTTCTGCAAAAACCCAGAGTTTTCCCACTGGGTGAATTTTAAAATGAAACTGGACTGCATAGTCAGAGTGTCATTCTATTTTTCTCTATAAAGGAACAGTTTACCTTACAGAAATGGAATTTTTGAAGGAAATACTGTTTCAGGAATTGTGATAGTGTTTTTGAGAATTGTTACAGTGGGAAAACAGGAACTGATAAGAAAGGGGCTTTCTTTTCCCTTCATTTGAAAATTTGTATCTCCTAGCGTTTCATCTCCAGTGCAGATGCTTGTCTAACAGCTCCTCTGAGATGTTCTGTGTTGGGTGAAGAGTACTATTGTTAGCAACTATTGAAATAAATACTAAAAAATATGAAGCCCAGGTATGCACTTTAGGTTGCTCTGCCCTATTTTTTGAGATTTCTTAGGAAGGACACAAATTCCCACCTTAGAGTCATCTTCATTTTGATGTATATCAGCTTCATCCTAAAGTAAGCTAAAACTCTATTGTATGGTCCCAGTGTAGGCTCTGGCAGAGAAGCTAATGTACTTCCCTTCCAGTGTAGAGCTTGAGTTGTCAGATCCTGAGAAGTCCATCCAAGCGCTTCAAACAACATACCCAACTGAAAGGATCCAAGCGGTCTTTTGGAAGTGAAAGGACACAGACAAACTGTTCACATTTTGAAGGGATTGGTTGGATGGGGCCATCTCACAGGATCCATCCCTCATTCACAGAGTAAGATTTCAATCCATATTTGAGCAAGTGTTGCAAGTGGCACTTAGGTTGATTTTCATGCCCTACAACTGCAAAACAGAGCTGTACAGTAACGTTAACCTTATTTATCACAGGACAGCACAGTCCTTCATCACTAACCCTTTGCTCAGCTTGAAACCTCAATAAGCAGGAAAGTAATTACTTAGGAAATCAGTTTTCCTGGATAACATGCCCTGCTCTCCTCACATTGTTTTAAAAGTGCAGGTGTTTCATATCTATTTCACTCAGCCCTGAGAAATAGTTTATTGATGAATGAAAATTAATCAGCCAAAGCTTTCATTCCTGAAATCAGGGTTTCAGTCTTTTATTCCTGAAAGGTTTTGCACACTTCATTACTCCGAGTTTATATGTGAAATCACTGTATTAATTTTCATATGAGTTGTCCTAGTATTTGAGGATCTTCTGTTCTGGAGACAATGATCACATATCAGATAAGACTGAACTCAGAGGTTAAACCTCAGCAAGTTCCTTAGACGTGATTTTCAGTGGTAGTAACTCATGCACTCCCTAAAGTGTGGAAACTGCATCTGCAAAACGCTTCTATAAATTCAACTACAGATCTTTTTAATAGAGAATAAGGACTCTCATCCCTGTAATACTGGGATAAGAGGTTTTTTTCAGCAATACAGGGCCTGATTCACCATGGGCTTTCCTCAGGTTTGTGTTCAAGCTCTTGCCAGAGTTATACTGACACTGAGTTGGACTGATAGAGAAGCGAAAAAGGTCCAAACTCAAGCACTGAGTAGTGTTGAAATCTGATGCACGTAAGTAGCTGGCTCCTGAGAGCAGTGATTTTATTCTGAACCTGAGTGAAGAAACCTTCCAATTCAACAGTGCATAAACTGCCCAGAGACAGATGAGACGACAGGCAGCGTAAGGAGGAGAGCACTCAAACCTCACTGCCAAATACCAGGAGCACTGAGGTGTTGTGATTGCATAAGTATCTCTCCTGCAAATTATGAATCACATGCCCTAAAATGCAGAGACATCAACGTCAAACCATGAACGCTTACCTGTCTCCCTGGGAACACGTGCTTTGAAGACAGTGATCTAGGAGAGCGGAGCATCCACTTTATAGCCACCCTGCACTGATTTCTGATGGGCCTCTGAAGCAGTAGCACCTGGGTGCTAAAGCATTTGGCTGAACTGTTGCGTTATGCCTGGCTATAGAAATACAATTTTGTGGCTTTTAAGTGATATGCCAGTGTAATTATGATAATGGAAAGAATGAACGTGTAAGTGTTATTGATGAAAAGGATCAGGAAGTCTGTACTTAGAATTGAGATTTGAAAGCGCCCATGATGGGAATTTACTAGCTGTAAAAAATTTAAGGTGTACTTTCAAAAAGAAGGGAAAATCAGGCTAGTGAGCAAACTTTTTCAAAAATCTCTGTTGGTTTGGTATAGATTTTGGTTTTGTAACCAGCTTTCCACAGCGTGTACTGCAACTGTGATTTCTGTTTCAGCCCAGTTTGCAAGGCATGCAAGCTGGTCCACATTGATGGTGTTTGGATCCATGTGTCTGTTCAGTGCGTTCATAAGATTGTGGGACTGTTCATCAGCCTGAAAACTGCAAGTTTCTTTAGTCCTTACTGACACTGTCCCTCTAACGGCTTCCTTTGACACTGTCTTCAGCAAATAGCGGATTTGTTTTGTGTCTCTGTGTGTGTTTTGTAAAAGAAAAGGCTAATAACTAACAAGCCCATGACTGATTTTGTGGTTGGTGTAGCTGAATACTTCCTCCCACGTCTCCAAAGGGATTAAAGATTTTCAGTCTTAAAAAAATGTGTACCCTGGTGTCAGTGAGGATCAGAGCCCTGGCATTTCTGATGTTTGCATTGTATGAATAAATATCATCGATTTGCAGAATTGGGTGAGACATTTAGAAAGTAGGGTCCAATTTCTGTCTTCTTCTGGGATTACACAACAAATGTGCTCACTTCTTTGCTCAGAAGTTTTCTATTTGAAGCCTGATCCTCTGCTTTCCTGAACACTAACAGTGGTGTGATCCTACTCAGAGCCTTGCTGGGAAGGAGCAGGAACTGTCCCTCAGGTCAGTGGGGCACCATATAGGCAGTCATGTCAAATACGTGCCATAAAATATCAGATCAGCTGTTGTGGTCCAAGTAACAAAGGGGATGTGGCCTTGAAGTGCAAACAAAGGTGAAGAAATAGCAAGAACAAAGTGTTGGATTTTGTAAAGATATCTGATACAGTTTAAAGACAGTTTGGGGTTTTTTTTTCCACGTTAATACTCTGAAAATCAGAACAATTGATGTTCCCTGAATCAGCTTCAACAGGCAATCCATTTTGCATGTTTGACATTTGAGATGTAAGATGTCTTTAATGTGAAGATTTAAATGAGGATTGTTATTTTGACACGCTGTGTCCGTCACATCATTTTCCATTTGTGTTCCTGGGAACACACTGCCCAAAAACGTCCTTATCATCTGGCAACAAACTGTTTAACAAAGGATCCTATTTCAGATGGTTTCTGATGAATTTGACTATGTATGGGGGGGGGGGTCTGTATGCAGACGATCGTACTGGTTTTTGGCACAGCTAGGAAGGTGTCTGGTATCCTGAGCTCTGGCTCCGGCTTGTCTTCCCTCGTCCGCCATGATTATGATGGACTGCCCTGTGTTTGATTTCTTGATCAGCAGCCGCTAACGTTAAAGTCATTAGTCAGCCTCACCCAGCCAAGCGCTGCACAGCGTTCCATTTTATCTTCCTCCAGCAGCAGCGGTGCGTTTCATTGTTGCATATGTTTGCACTTATTGCTTTAATACGCCATAGCTTGGTACCAGTCGGAATGTGTATGTACACGCACTGACTCAGCCGCTCCAGAAAGCACGTGTGTCTCGCTCCTGTATAAAAATTAGCGTCTGACGTGCCCACAGTGAAGTGGTTTGTGCTGCTTACTTTAGGCTGGGAGTGTGCGTACCCGTCTTACGTGCAAGGCAGGCCCCGTGCTGGTCTGTCATAGCGATGGTGATGCAGCCACATTGGGTCTTCGCGGCTCTGGGAAAAATCCGTCTGTGTACATGGGCTTCGCTGTATAAAGTCTTCCAAGATAAACCGTGCTGTCCTGTAATAGTAAAACTGGTGGCTGTTTATTGATTGATTATGGCCATCTTTTCAGTTGCTTCTTCACAGGAGCCCATAACAGAGCAATTTCTTTTTTATTTGTCTAATTTCTGACAGGTATCCTGCCTGTTCCAAAAAATATACTTCCATGGGGCATCAGAGAGTTACTCTACATCCCTATGGCCCTGCCTTTCCTAGCCAAGCATTCTGGGTTGCTTTTTTTCACGTGCTATAGTTCTCCAAAGGCATTAACAAACCTTCCCATCATTAAGCTTGTCAGTTTGTTTTCCTGTAGCTCCTGAGCAGCAAATCTGTCCTTGAGTTCTGTTCTCACGGCCTGGTGTGACGCTGTCTTGCAGAAGACATGAGTTGTGAGAAAAATAAATGCTTGTGCAGGTTTCCCCACTTACCCGTTAGGCCAGGGGTGAGGTGCCGCTCAGGAACCTGACCAAAGAAACGTTCTGCCAGGAAAGGTGGAAAACTCAAAGATATGAGGTGCGAGGTGTCATTTGAATCTCTTTCGCTCTCTTCTTATCCCTGCATATATACATGTTTGTGTTTATACATTTATTTCTAGTTATATTTATGTTTGTATTTCTGTATTTGTGTGTGAGTGAGTGTAGGTCAGTCATCCTGGAAATTAGACTTGTTGCATGCCCTGAAAACTGTTTCAAATGTGACCTGATTGCATGTATACTGACCTTAGGGTAGGGGGAGAAAGGTGCATAAGGGAGAGGAAGCCTTATCATCTCACGTGCAGTATGTCAATCCGATCCTCATCTGTTTCTCCTTCACTTGCTCTTGACGAAGCCCCCAGGCAGCATCCTTCAGCTGGCTGTAAAGGGAGGGAGGGGGATGCACCTGGCTGGAGAAAAGGCTGTCAGCACCTGCTGGAGTTTTGCCGACAGTGCCGTGCTCCTGGAGATCCCGCTGAAACGAAATAGTCGTGACTCAGACCTACAGCAAGCGGCTTTCATTTCGGGCCAACGTGTCCTCTGTTTGTGGTACCCCACCCCATAGTAGGCACTGCCCTCTTCCACCCGGTGCCTCTCCTCCCTCGTAGCCACCCGCGCTGTACCTGCGGCAGCAGCAGGCGAGGAGGGAGGGAGCGTTTGCCACCACGAAGCGCTGCTCTCTGCTTCCTCCTTTTCCCCAGGGTATTACCCAGAGTAATGTCTCTCTCATATCTCCCTTGCTCCAGCCATGCCATCAGGTAATTTCCACAAATTGACTGTGCTGTATCTTTCTGCAGTGCAGAATCAATACTATTCTATGCTGCTTTTTAAGGTTTTAGCTGCAAAAGCCATTTTGCTGTGTTTCCCACATTATCCTTTGAGTGCTGCTGTTGATTACAATTAATGCTTATAACATCCTCAGTTGTGTCAAAGAATATTCCACAGATCAATTAAGTTTCCCAACACCTTTGAGGTGTTGGACTATAAAAAATAGTACACCTCTAATTGCTATTTTGTGATACCTTCCTTCTAAAAATGTCACTGTTTAACTAGAAAGTTCATGACTTCAGGAAAATGGTGCTTTTATATAAAGCAGGTGTGGTTTAGGTTAATGTATTTTATTCTGAAGCTGTGAAGTGCTAAGGGCGTGCACCTTCTCATTTGCTGCCCTTTGGCTAGTGAGCAGAGTTTGAGATGTGCAAACACAGTTACTTTCGCTCATGTATCCACGTCTGACTTTCAAGGGAAGTCTTTGCTGCGCTGTACTAAAAGTGGTAGATAAACTGGAGTTTTTCAGGTACTGAAAAGACCCAGTGATGACAGCCAAGTGAGGGTCTTGTGTTTGGGGGGACAGGTTTTTTTAAAAGTGTTTGCAATATGTTAATATAACCCTGTAGTCCAGTATACAATTATCTACTATATGATTAAAGCACTTTTAGAAGTGAATCGTAGGCTTTCAAGCTGCTGAAGCAGTTCTCAGACTTTTACCCAGTATTATTATATGTGCTTCACAGATGGAGAAACAGAGGCAGAGGGAGGTGACTCACTGAAGAGCAGATGAATGACAGGGCTGGGAATAGAGTCAGGGTCCCCTGGCTCGCAGCACTGTTACCAGCTCACTGGGCTGTGCAATCGCATTACACTTAGTTTACAGTTGGGTCAGTCAAAGCACGGGGAAGTTAAGGGCCTGGGCTTGATGAGGACTGAGTGCCCAAAACTCTGGTTGAACCTGATGGAAGTCTTGAACATGCGGTATGCAGAAAATTCAACATTGTGCATCGTAGGCAAGTTCTTCCATCGCGTCAGGATGTCGCCAGTGCAAAGCCACAGGCTTCTCAGATCAGCTTCTGGGGTTGCGCCCGTGGTGCTGTGCAGAAGAGCAGTGGCTGCAGGCAGCTAAATTCAGGTAGAGGAAGGCACTGACAGTGGCAGTTTTTGACTGGCTTCTCTGAAAAGCTGGATGTGGTTCCTTCTGCCATTGCACTGCTATATTTGGTTGTTCCTGAAAACTCTTTTTTTTTTTTTCTTAATAAGCCATGAAGGCTTGTGGAGTCTGTATTTGAATATATCTAATGAGAAGAAATAAAACCTAGAAGAGAGAGAGGGAGTTTCTAAGGCAGTCCTCAGTGGCATTCCTCTGTGAGGATTATGTAGTTGCATCTAAAATGTATTTCCCACCCCCGTTCAGTTAACAAGTCAGTGTTTTAATGGACAGAGCCGACAGCTGCAAAAATCTATCCCCCAGAGAGAGATTCCAGCACCTGAGAGCAGTCTGCAAAGACTAGAGGTACCATTCCTCGATAGGAAGGAAGGAGAAATGTCCTCATGGGAGCATCCTACCACTGTAAGGAGCTGCCTCCAGAGGATTTTTTGGAGGGGCTGGAAAGAGAATGAGTCTAAGCCCAAACTAGCAGCTCAGTTTTGCAAAGCAGTGATGCTCTAGCCTTCATCCAATGAAGCCTATGTTTAGCTTTAAATACATAAAAAGGGAAGTGAAGACAGTGGCTTGTGTTTCTTCTCCCCACCTCCTTCCCTTTTTTATCGTGGTTAATGCTTAAGAAATACCTAAACATTCCCTCAAAGGCTTATTTCATTTCAGAGCTACTGAATTCCCTTTCCTTGGCCATGTCCTTCTTTTATTTCAGTTTCTAGATCAAATTTATTCCTCGGTAGCCTAAAAATGTGGGTTTCAGTGATACAGGATGTGACAGTGGGATGTATATAGGATATGTCTGGTCCTGTGTGCAGGCGAGCTCTAAGCATTTTTAGGCAGGTCTGTCTTCAGGCATGGCTCTAGGAACTATACGCAGGAAGATGCACTGAATTTATAAATACCATCTATCTTGCAGAGATCCTGGTGTATAAGTATATGAATCAACAGAAGATGGATATGTCCGGCCAGGAGTACCCAGGACCATGCATGGTTTTCGTAGAGCTCTGAGACCACTTCTAACTAGAGACTGATTCAACAGAAAGTCTTCACAAACAGCAGCACCAAAGAGCGAAGTGCCGGAATTTTTTGCACACACAAAAGGGGGACTGTGGGGTGTGGGAGAGGTCTAAGCCCTGAGGGTGAGGGAGGTGACCCTGCTGCACTTTGTAGGGTTTGTGGTATCTGGCCTTAGTTTCCTCTAGCCTTTGTGACTGAATGGGTGCAGGGATCTGGCTGAGAGCCCCACTTCAGTCCAAAGTCATTTGTGAAAGCCAGATGTTTGCCTTGTAAATGCCATTGAATCTTGTCCCTCCAGCTCATGATCCAGGGAACGCATCTCTCTCTGTAAGAGTGGAACGTGAGAGTTAATCAAGCTATTTCAACTTCTTTGTCAGAAACAGCGCCGATCAAATGTGTTTCTATCAACAGCTGCCTTTTTCAATTATGCAGAGAAAACATGAGAGGGATAGTGTGCACTGACTGCAGTATAGGCTTGTAATGATCTGAGAGGTTGCAATGGCTTTCAAACAGAAAAAGAGCAAGGGAGAGATGCTGAAGCGGTAGCGGTAATGTAAGTGCTACAGCAGAGTCCATTACAGATCAGTAACAGCAGCGCTTCAGCAAATGAACCTTTTCAAGGGTACCAAATATTTCCTGCCACAGGTTGGACTGTGTTCTGCAATGTTGGCATATGCATTAGGCCCAGGAGCAAAGAATTATTTTATCTAACTGTATCTTGGCTGTCTGTTTGAAGCCTTTTTAACCTCCTGCTGTAGAAGTGGTGAACTGCTGATGAGAAAAAGAACCTGATGTGATAACACTGTTCTAGCAGCCACCTGCTGCTACCGGTGGGATCCACCAATACATGGGTAAAAAATGTGTTCATTTTCCCAGCCAGGGCAGTTTTTCACATGTCTATGGAACTACCTCGTGAATATGTTTCTTAGATGTCATGGGCAAATACCTCGTGAATAGCTTTTTGTACAGGTTGAGGAAACATGCAGGTATCTGGGACAAGAGCGACTTCATAGTGACAGTATAATATTAGTCCATTACAAAGGAGACTTCCTAAAATAGGTTTTAGACCTTTTCCATCATCTTTGTTTCTATATGGCATTTTCAAGGTGTATATACATAAGCTTGGGCCACAAGCATTCTCTATTCTATTAGAAAATAGAAAATTGGCATAAACTAGAATTCTCCTGTCTTTTTTACAATAGCACTGTTAGGAATGATGTTGTATCTGACAGATGGTCCAAAATTGCCTCCCTTTCAATGGGAGAGGGAGCACAGCTCATTCTTCTAGGTCAGCTCCAAAAGTGTTCAGTTTCTCAAATGATTTTATAGCTTCCCTGATTCAGCAGTGTGGTCTGTTGGGATCCCACTAAAATGGGGGAGGCTATCAATGTGCACTTAATTTTAACATGCGGGTAAGAGGACTCCTCATTTCTGACAAAGCTTACGGGGGATTTTGTGTGTATTAATCTTCAAATAAAGTGTTGTCTAGTTCTTGTGCTACTCTGTATGGTGGCGAACTTCAGCTCCAGCACAGAGGTTATGTCTATAAAACAGAGGAAAACCAGCCTGATGCTTCACTTACATGCATGGAGTACTTGACTTCACATCTTGTGTCTGTCTCAGAGACAGCTGGTCCAAGTCTGTCTGGCAGTGTGCTAGTTATTTGAGTGGCTCTGGTCCCACAAGGTCCTCCGACCATTGGGGGATGAAGTGCAATGTGATTGCACACTAATAGATAAATTTAAAATGTAAATTTGAAGACTAAGAACTGTTTTGTCTGTTTAAATTTGTTACGAGGTAGGTTCTGTAGTAGCTCATAAATGACTTAATTTTTTTGCTTTAATTTCTCTGTGCAGGACACCAGCCATGATTGGATGCTCATTTGTAGTGGACCGAGAGTATTTTGGTGAGATTGGCTTGCTTGACCCTGGTATGGAGGTCTATGGAGGAGAAAACATTGAATTAGGCATGAGGGTGAGTAACAAAGAAGAGACTTTGTGCCATGTCCATTTGCAAAGAAGGACGGGGAGCCTGTGGCCCAACAGAATTGCTGTCTGGCTGATAGGCTATTACGCTGAAGTAATTGATATTGCAACACTATCTGGAACTGACAGTCCCAGTAAATGAACGTTCCTGACCTACTGGCCTTGAGAGAACTGATAACTGTCAGAAATATGCTTTATTCATTCATTCTGTCAGCATCTGAACCCAATGCGACAGGTTTTCCCTTTTCCCAGTAGCTCTGCTTGTGCAAACAGCTACACTAACAGCCTTCGTGTGCTCAGTGTGCCTAGGTGGTGGTGTCTGCTTGTGGTCTAGCAGATGCAGTACCAACAGAAAACTAAGGCCACGCTGGCAGAAGTCAGTTGTAATGTTCTACATACCAAGCGTGATGCATGCTGTGGTATTTTAAATCTTCAAAGGTTCTCTTAATAGAATGAGGACTACAGGGTCCAGGTATTCGATCCTGTTGGACAGGTCAGAGCAAAGTGTGGACAGATGACTTTGGGACAGCATCAGTCTACTCTATGCTTCTGGATCTACAGGAGGTTTGATACTTGTGATCCTTTGCCCTTGTTTTCAAGGTGGTGCTTGCCAGCAAGTCCTTCTGAAGTCCAAGGAACATGTCTTTGCTTAGCACTTGAAAATTAGGCCACTTAATGTTGCATGAACACAGTTTCCTCATTATAAAGCTGACTGTTTAATTATTTTCCCCTTACTCTTTATTCCCTGCTTCATAGTAACACATCCCTGGTGCATGTAATGTGCTCATTAAAGCATATATTCTGCTCATGGTGCAACACTGAACATCAAATTAGTCCATTCTTTATCTGACTCTCTTTTTCTAAAATGGCTACAAACTCCTTCACACCAGTGGGCTGAGGAAGAAGGTCATTGCAGAAAGAGTTTATTTTCACATATGGGTGTGTATTTATTATTCCAGCATCGCAAGAGGGATAGGGTTTGTAATGGGACTGTGTGAATATACTGCTTATACTTTAAGGTTCAGAATTCACATAGGGGACAGAAAAACTGCTACCACAAATCATCCAATTTTCCTTAAGAGGGTCAGGCTATTACCAGGATTGTGTGAGCTTTCCTTTATCATAGTGCAGGGCTTTGAGCTGTTTGAAACTTTTTCCACATGGCTGCTTGCAGAATAGATTGAACGCTCTGGCAAAACTCTGGCGTAGCTGATGAATAAGCCTCCTAAGAAATCTGAAAGCTGTCGCTCTTCCTTAGACGAGAAGAACTTGCTGAGTACGATTAGGGCTCCTGGTAAACAGAGGCAAAGGTTTTAATAGGATTATGAAATGGCACTTGCTTGAAGAGACGAGGATTTGAAGTGAGCGAGGACAGGTTTTCAGGGGTAGGAAACCTGTTAAAGTCTGCAGAAATGTAGGATCTAGAAACCAGCTCTCATTCTTTGGGTTGGGGGTTTGTTGGGGTTTTTTTTTTGTTTGGGTTTTTTTGCCCTATAAAGAATAATTAACCCTGCTGTTCGAAAAAGATTTCATGAAAGTACAGGAGTATGAGTGAGTTCATTCTGAAATAATCTGTATGTCCATGGCACGGATCTGTTGCTCTACGTTTTCAGCCTGGATCTAGCACAGTAAGTATTATACAGTGTCTGCCTCCTAATTTGCAAGTCCTATGCGTGATCCCCTCCTGCGTGTCTTTCAGAGCTGTCAGAAACTAGCAGCATGAAAATGCACAGGAACCTTCTCCCTAGGATATTTATAAAATCACTGTGAATGTACAAAGTTGGGGTTTTTTTTAACTCGAAATTGCCTTTCCCAAGGCCTGGTGCACTGACCCACGCAGGGATATTTGGCATATCCCCTACACCTGCACCGAGGGATGCTGTTGCCCGTGTGTGACTCTGCTGGTGTGCAGCAATGAAAGACAGGAAAGGGAGGGAATAAATAAACGAAAGAGTAAAGAGCAAGAAATAATATAATAAGAAATAATAAAGTGGTGGCAAAGTAGTGACACGTGTTTGGCTGAAAACAGTCCCTATTTAAAATAGCTGTAACAATAATCCTTTAAACTTTTTTGCACACTATTATCATGTTACTGCTAAAAGGGAAAGGGATTAGGCTTGGAGTGTCTGAATGAGATTACATTGCATCTAATGAACCTTCATTTAAATTGTTTTAATAAAGTGAAATAGGAAAAGTCAGTGAAACTAATGAGCTGATTTGGGATGACACTGTTTGATAACCCAGCTAATCCCCCTTAAATCTATTGTTTATTAAAAAATCATCATCTTGGGTATTCCAGTATTGGCTTTTCCCTTTTCTAAATTCCATAGATGGAAATATTTAAATAATTAACCTAAGTGATTTTCTGTATTGAGTAAGCAGTGCATAAACTGACTGGGGCTACCACTGGGGCTATTGAAAATATTTAAGGCTCTGCAGCTAGTTTTTAAACTCGCATTATTTTCTGTGTAAACTTCATACTGGTTAGAGCTGTGACATTCCCCTAATGGCGTAGCTTTGCAGTGAAGCCAATGTCTGTTTGCCAAGGCAGGGAGATTCTGGTTTGGTTGAGAAAAAACACCAGCTGTTCTGGGAAATAAAAGGGAGATGGACATGATTGCAGGCTTGTGATAGTAAGGAAATAGATGGGCACTTGTGTAATGTCGTCTTGTACTATATTTTTCAAAGATGACAGTTTCACCACAAGATGGATAAATACAGCACTGAATTCTGTTATGGACAAAGGGTGCTATTCTCTTAGTGTTCACCAAGCAGCTACTGAAGCTGATGGGAATTGTCTGTGAGCACCTAAAAGCTGATTTTGGCCAGGAATTTACAAAGTCAAATCGTGGCTGACTCCTATGTGGATGAGGAGCCCTTCACATGCACAGGCAACGGGGCTTGTTAGCTGCAGTCAGGCAAGCACCACACCACTGCTCTGCCTCCTCGTATCCGCGTGGATCCAGTGAGCGGTAGATAGCCCTGCTTTCATTTCAGCTGTGGTTCAGCTGTCCTTTTCCCACCCTGGAGGCAGAGATAAAGAAAAATAATGGTACTCTCTCCTGAAGCAAAGCTGTGGGTGTGTCTGTGGCTGAAGAAGACACCCTAAACTCAGGGTGTGTCGTGTTCATCTTTGCTGCTCCTGGACGTCAAACGGTCTCTCTGACCTGTAGTGCAGAGAGATCTCCCAACAGTAAGAGAAATTCAAGCAATGCTTGAATGTAGAGGGAGACAGGGATCCCTTTAAGTGAGGGTCCCAAATTATGACCCTGTAAGAAACTGCGTGGTTTGCAAGCGCCATGTAAGTTCCCTTCCTGGTGGGAGCTACAGACACACTTAATTATTTAGAAAGGGATCATATAAACATTAAAAGCCTAGTTTATGATTTGACCTAGTAGAAGCAGTTTATGATGCATCTTTTTATAGCGAATCATTAATCATTGTACTAAGGATCTCTCTCGTCCTCTGGTGCTCCAATGATAAGGTGAATGAATTGCTGTTCTTTTTATTTTGTACCCATCAACTGTAATGGTGAGTGGGAAGAGGTCAAGCATTTATTTTAAAGGATGCCCTAGTACAAATTAAGTTCTGCTTCCCCCATTAAGAATCCAAACAAATTAAATAAAAAATATGTTGTCACATTGACAACTGGAAGCAAAACTTTTTCTTTTTTATGGCCAGCACTTATATTCTCTCTATATATATCTATATGTGGCCATACTACTTCTTTTTCAATAGCACTGTAATATACCTCAAAGGAGGGAATCTCTATCAGTTGATGGATTCTTAGAGGCGCTAACTCAAGGATTTGAAAAAAAACCCCAAACAAACACTCACCCACCCCCTCAAACTAATGACTTACTCAATTTGAGATAGCTTAAAAAACATACTGCTTTAGGAGGTCCGGGCCAAGAGAAATCAATGAGAGATGTCCCTAGGTACCAGTGCGACAAATTAACTCTGTGGTGGATTCAAGCGATGGCTTAGCTCTCCAGGAGAGCTTAGCTGGATGCTCAGGGTTAGTTGTAACCTCAGCTCGTACAGGTGTGTCACAGGTCGCTCCGGCCAGTTTTGGCAACTGGCAATGGCATGGTCCTGGGAACACGTGGCTCATCAGGATTGAAAAGAATTGCCTGAAACCAGGATAAAATCTCAGATCATTTGCGCTCTCTGCTCTTCTGATGACTTCGCTAATGGTGGCCAAGCTGCCTCGCCGAAATCAAGCGTGGGTCATGTATGTAGAAATGCAGTCCCACCTCGGGGCTCTGCAGAAAGACTGTGTGTGCTGTAAAAAAATCATGACGCAGATTCCCTGAAATCTCCTTACAAGGAAATAAAACTTGTTACCTAACAGACTCTCATACATGAGCGAATCATTATACTTTCCAAACTTATGCTATATGGTCCAGCTTTACCTTCCTTAAAAACAGATGAACTACATTTTCTCTGAACTGAAATGCTAATGGTAGATTGTTGAGTAGTGAATTCTTGACCTGATTTTATTACCTTCAGCTAAGGAGATTTAGATTCCTTTGAGCAGTCAGTGTTTTAAACGCAGATTCTAGGCTGGTATGCTGTAATAAAAATGCCACAAGGTTTATGTATGGCAAACTTTAATTCTGAATTCTGGACAATGCTTTTTACCCTGCATGACTCATGAGGCCAGGCCCCTGGTCTTAGAGCTAAGAGCTAAGTAGGAACCCCATTCTGGAGAGTTTCTCAAAATTTCAGGGTTTTTTTTCACGCATGCTGTGGTAAAATACAAGTGAAAATTGTACAAAAATACAGGTTAATCAAAATGTCTTATTTCGGTAAATCCAAAAATACGTCATTTTTATTTTGACCTTTCCCAAGCTGTAATTTTTAGCATAAATTAATTCAATTTCCAATGAAAAGGTTTTTTTTAAAAAAGCCTTTCAGTTTGAAGATGTTTAATCACTTAAATGATGTTAACAAAAATTCACAATTGCTGACATCTGAAAATGTAGT